CTGGCTTATTAGCCGTCGTCAGCCAGTCATACCCAGCCCCAAGTGGTCCACAACTCGAGGCTCGAAATCACAGTCTTTTTGATCATATTCAGGGCCAGAGAAATGAGGCCCAAGTCAAAGCGGTCGGTGAGCATTTATCAGCGAGTGTCAATATCTCCTGACCTAAACCGTAAGACAACGAGCTCGTGGCTCAATGATTAGGGTGTTAAACTCTAATCAAAAAAGTTGCAAGTTAGAGCCTCGGGCGGTGCACCACCTGGGGCTGGGCATGACTGACTAACGACGGCTTATAAGCCAGAAATGGCGATTCCAAACTCCTTTGTCTTTTCCGGCAATAACATCGGTCTGGTCTATGCCGACGCAGCATTAAATTGGTCAAAGGCGACCATTTTTTCCCCTTCGGCACTGCTACTGGAAGGGTGCGTAGGTCTTCGTAGAATATGTTGTTTACGTTTTCAGGGCTGACTCTTTGGTGTGAGAGGTACATAAATGCTGATGACTGTGGCAATTTTGTGCCGGCAAAATGATAGGCTCAAGACAGGACAGCCGCCGCACTTCGTCGTTTCTGGTGCGAAAATGACTCCGATATCTCTTTGGTCTGCCCTTGGACGTCTGCTCCAGGTTCTTCGTGGCTGCTTAAGTCATGGAGGCCTCTATCGCTGCGAATTCCAGGTCCGGTCCCGAATAAAAAGAGGATTTTGACACCACTTGAGAGGATATTGTGTTCTGCACGAAAACACTGGACAGCAGGTTGGAACGTGTTGGCAGCCGGACAGGGCACGCTGCAAGAGCCGGCGTCCTAGCCTACGGAATAATAAACGATAAATCAAACTCGGGAAGATGTCGTCCAACTTGTTTTAGGGCACATACTCCATTAATTTTGCACATTTAGGCAAAAACTATGACTGATCCGGCAGACAAAAAACCCAAAAAAATAACTGCATACACTCTTTAACTAAGCCGAAAACATCCTCTGAATATGTTGGTCGGTTCAAACTTAAAATTCGAAACAGGGACGTACAGTAGGTGACATATCTGATGAAAGGTTGAGGATTGGGGGATTTAACACAAACTTGAGGTCGTTTATTAAGTTCATCGGGC